ATAGCATAAGTAGGGGTACATATGATACACCATTTTTAAAAGGTGTATATTAGAATTTCCCGTAAATAAATAACAAGATAAAAAAATTAAGGTGATGGGTAAATTACATTAATCTCCTTTAACATTAGTAAGAAATACATTAGGTATCATAATTTTAACATAATTATGTTAAGGGGTCATTTGGCAATGACTTTTTTAGTTAGTTTTTTTGACTTTTTTAGTTTTGGACTTTTTTGTTTGTTTGATTTTCTTGTTTGGTTTTTTTGGCTTTTGGCTTTGGAATGGCAATTTTTTTTTTTTTGTCATTTTGTGATTTTTGACTTTTTGCTTTTTTGATTTTTTTTTTGTCCTTTTCTGATTTTTTAGCCCAAATGAAAAACTAAACTGAGGCTAAGTTTTCATAAAATTTTAATTCATATAATACTTAACTAATTTTTTAATCAATAATTCATTAGTTGTATGCATAAAAAAATGTTATTGTCATTTATTTTTATTTTTTATTTTACATTAAAATGCAGATTTAACCTTATTTAAACCTGCATTACTTTTAGTCGCTTTAACTTTATTTTAAAAAAAAGTTGATTTAATTATATTAAATATGTATATCTTATTATATATGTATCGTTTCTAAACCTTGATTGTCCGGATTGGATGTAAGGGTTTGAGGAGGATATGTAATATCTAAGGATAAAGATGAGATACAATATATTGTAGGATATGAGATTGATTATATATACTATGGGGTTACTTATATTATGTTTGGTTAAGATATGATATAGGATGGGATAAGAGGAGAGTAATTATTTTTGATCTTTGGATGAAATATTTCCTATATCCAACGGTGGAGATATACAATACCATGGGGGGTTGGTATTGCATATCCCCTTTTGGGGGATATACTATCCAGACAATCACCACGGGATATAGAGAGACAAGAAAACATGTGAGACCCACATCATATTATATCCGGTCCCCCTCATATCCGCCCCTTATATACCCTAACAAAGAGGGCCTAAGTGTAATATATCCTTAAAAGTGAGTAAACTGGACTAATAAGAACAAACCTTTTGTACTATAGATAAAAATAATTAGGATGTGTTTGGTAACGTTTACGTTTTCAGTTTATATTTACAAAAATTTTATAAACTGGTTTTTGTTTATTTTTAAAAAAACATAAACCACAAACGCGTTTGGTAATTGACAAAATGTTTAAAAAATTTTAAAAATATAAAAAAGAGTGAGAAATGGCAAGTGGTGGCAAGTGGACGCGGAAGACGGTGGTTCAAAGTGGTGACGGTGGGTGGTGGGTAGCTGGTGGTGGTGGGTGGTGGTGGCGGGTAGGTGGGTGACGGTGGCGGGTGGTGGGTGGTAGTGAGTGAGTGGGAGGTGGTGGTGGCGGGTGGTGGATGGTGGTGGCAGGTGGGTGGCGGATGGCGGGTGGTGGTGGGTCGGCGGATAAGTGGCGGGTGGTGGTGGTGGGTGAGTGGGTGACGGCGGCGAGTGGTGGGTGGTAGCGAGTAGGTGGTGGGTGGTGTAGCAAGTGGGTGCGGATGGGCGGGTGGTGGCGTGTAGTGGTGGTGGTGTGGGTGGGTGGGTGACGGTGGCGGGTGTAGGTGGTAGCGAGTGGGTGGTGGTGGTGGTGGTGGTGGTGGTGCAGGTGGTGGTGGTGGTGAGTGGGTGGGTGATGGTGGGGGTGGTAAAGTGGTAGCGAGTGGGTGTGGTGGGGGGGTGGTGGTGGGTGGTAGTGGTGGTGGCAGGTGGGCGGTGGTGGTGGGTGGCTGGTGGTGGTGGCAAGTGGGTGGTGAGTGGTGGTGGCAAGTAAGTGGCGGGTGGTGGTGGCGGGCGGTGAATGGTAGTGGCAGGTAGTGGGTGGTAGCGGGTGGATGACATGTAGGTGGTGGTGGTGGTGGTGGCGAGGGGTAGGTGGTGATGGCGAGTGGGTGGCAGGTTGGTGGGTGGTGGTGGCGGGTGGTAGCAGGTGGATGGTGAGTGGTGGTGGCAGGTGATGGTGGAGGGTGGTGGTGGCAGAAGACGGTGGTGGAAAATGGTGGTGGGTGGTGGCTAATGTTGGGTGATAAAAAAAAAACTGAAAACTTAAAATGGAAACACATTTTTTGTGTTTTCATTTTTTGGCCAAATTTATAAACTGAGACCACTAATTGATAAATCAAAAATTTTATCAAACAAGTTTTTATTTGAATTTTTTAAATTTTTATAAATATAAACAGAAAATTGAAAACGTAAGTGTTATCAAACGGCACCTTAATATTGTGTTTGGTTGATAGATTTGATAGGTATTTTGAAAAGAAAAGAGAAATGTGAAATACTTATCAAAATGTATGAACCAAATACAACCTAAATATTTTGTAAGTACCAAAGAAGTTTCTAAACATGCTTATTTATTTATTTATTTTTAGTTTTTTTTTGAAGTTACAAAAAAGAAAAAAGAAAAAAGAACAAAGGCAGCTTACTCGGAGATTATCAAACAAGTGTAGGACCGTCATAATAGAAAGCGGAGAAATGAAAATAAAATTTTAATAAAACTGCAAAGTACTAAAATATAATTTAGGAAGCTTTTTTGATAAATTCATTTTCTAAGAGTTTTATTTTATTCAATTCATATTCTTTTTTACTATTTCATTAGGTCCTATTTGAGATAAGAAGACCAAAATACCATTTTCATCTACTTATGTTCTATTTAGTTCATATTATCTTCTTATGTTTCAATAAGTTTTATGGGTGACATAATTACTAAAATACCCCTAAAGTGAATGTTCACACCATCAATGTGAATGTTCATATCGTCAATGTGTAGGGGCCCGGCCTATGTCGATCCTCGTGGGTGTCCAGAAAAATTCGAGTCGGGCCGGGGCGAGCCCGACCCGTTGACAATGTGAATATTCACATTGACATGTTAACATTCACATTAATAGGAGTGTAAAATTGGCCCGCATCCCGTGGCGGCGCGAAACTCGCTCGCGGTCCGGGTCCGAGCATGTCCGAGACTCTAGGCTAGGGCCTAGGCCATCACTTTGAAGCCTAGCCCGGCCCATCAGCCCGCTTAAGGCCCATTTAAGGCTTGGTCTGAGGCCCAGCCCGCCAGAGGCGCAATGTCTTTTTTCGTGGAAAATAATAAAATTTTGGTAGAAAAAATTAAAAAGAATTAAAAAAAAATGGCCAGGCCCGCCCAAGCCCGACTTAAGCTCGAGGCTAGGCTCAGGTCCACCAGCTCGACCCGAGGCTCGATCTATCGGCCCGTCCAAAGCCCGAATACCCTTGTGCCAAGGCTAAGGCCTGGGTTTGGGCCTAATTTTTTGGCCCTTGGGCTGGGCCGGATTTTTTCGGACACATACGAGGCTCGATATGGGCCGGCCCGAGCCTCTACGCATTGATGATATGAACATTCACATTGACGATTTGAACATTCACATTTTGGGTATTTTGGTAATTATGTCTCCCATAGGACTTATTGAAACATAAGAAAATAATGTGGATTAGATAGAATATAAGTAGATGAAAATGGTATTTTGGTCTTTTTACCTCAAATAGGACTTAATGGAATAGTAAAAAAGAACGTAGGCTGCCCGAAGCCCTCCCGTGGCTCGGGAAAGGCTCGTTTGGGCTCGAGCTCGAGCCTAGTTCGAGACCCTAGGCTAGGGCCTGGGCCATCACTTTGAAGCCCGGCCCGGCCCGGGCCATCGGCCTGTTTAAGGCCCATTCAAGGCTCAGTCTGAGGTCCGGCTGGCGCGCAAGGCCTAGTGTATTTTTTTGTGGAAAATAATAAAATTTTGATAGAAAAAATTAAAAAGAATTAAAAAAAAATGGCCAGGCCCGCCCAAGCCCGACCTAAGCCTGGGCCTAAGCCTGAGGCTAGGCCCAGGCCCATCGGCCCGACCCAAGGCTCGACCCACCGGCTCGGGCCCGGACTCAAACGAGCTTACCCCGGGCCGTGGGCAGGCTTCGGGCAGCCCACGGGCCGCAGGCTAATTGTACATTCCTATCAATGTGCATGTTAACATGTCAATGTGAATATTCACATTGTCAATGGGCCAGGCCGGGCCTACCCCAGGCCGGGCCTACCCCAGGCCGTGGGCAAGTTTCGGGCAGTGGACAAATTTTACACTCCCATCAATGTTAATGTTAACATGTCAATGTGAATATTCACATTGTCAACGGGCCGGGTTGGGCTCGCCCTAGGCCACTGGCAAATTTTATACTTTTATCAATGTGAATGTTAACATGTCAATGTGAATATTCACATTGTCAACGGCCCGGGTTGGGCTCGCCCTAGGCCACTGGCAAATTTTATACTTTTATCAATGTGAATGTTAACATACCAATGTGAATATTCACATTGTTAGCAGGTTGGGCCGGGCCCGCCCCGGGGCGCCCACGGGTCGTGGGCAGGTTTCGGGCAACCATGGGGCGCGAGCTAATTTTACATTCCTATCAATGTGAATGTTAACATGTCAATGTGAATATTCACATTGTCAACGGGTCGGGCCGGGCCGCCTCGGGCCGCGGGGGAGATTTTGGGCGCCCATGGGCTGCGGGCCAATTTTATACTCTTATCAATGTGAATGTTAACATATCAATGTGAATATTCACATTGTCAACGGGTCGGGCCCACCCTGGCTCGCGGGCGGGTTTCGGGTTGCCCACGGGCCAATTTTACATTCCCACTAATGTGAATTTAAAAATATGAATGTTCACATCATAAAATTGCTAACCGCTCAAAAAATATTTATAAGGGTATCAAAATTAAATATAAGGGCATAAGTGTCCAAAAAAATAGTGTAAATCAAGAAAAAGTACTTTATGGAATAAAACTATATATACATGGGATTAAATAGGTTAAAAAATTCCATTAGACTTCTTGAGTTAAAACACTTCTAAATGAGATTTATCAATAAAAATTCTATGAGTCATACAATAAAATATCAATAGAAACACTTTATTTATTTATTATCAGATTGAATATTTTTACACATCAAAGAATATTGATTGATCTGCACCAGATATCAAACTGCAAATCCTCTTTTATTGTTTCAATGTACAAATCATTTGCATAAGCTTCTTAAAGCAATGGAAATATGAGAGAGAAAAAAATAAAAAATAAATATTACATAGGATGAACTGAATGAAGCAGCCTTTGTGTATGTATGGATGATAGGATGTATGGATCTTCAAGATCCGAACAACCTGGGACATCATCAAACTTGTTTAAGTCAACTCTTACCTAACAAACAAACACCAATTAAAAGTTGAAATTAAGCAAACATTCAATCTACTCTCGAATTCTTCTTCTTACCTCTGCAACCGAGTTGATGTGCGCTTGATGCTAAAAAAAAACAGAAAAAAGAAAACAAGAAAATATATCAATTACTTGGCTATAAAATTTTTAAAAATATATCAATGGTGTTAAGTTTGATAATTTAATTAATTGTTTTGTTATTTGTTGAAAAACCACTTTAGATCAAACTCAGCTAAATTAATTAAACAATATCGTAGAAATAATTGTTAAGAGTAAAGAAGTAATCTAATTTTTTATTTTTAAATTTGTTCTAAATAAATAGGGAAACAACATTTAATGAAGTGTGGTGGAACTCATAGTTAGACATTTGAAAAGTCAGATTGTGTTTGATTTAAGGATTTAAAAAATTATTTGTAAATAAATAAATAAAAGAAAAAGTAAATGAAATAATTTTTTTTTCTTCATGATTCTTGGATCCAAACACAATTTAATGTGGGAGTTGGATAAGATAACGCACCTTTGTGAGGGCTGTGCTTTGGGGTTTTCCTTGGGCACTTGTTGGGCTTCAACCCTTGAAGTTGGGACATTCTTCACCTGTGAAGGTTAAAAACAATTGTCAATCCCTTACCACTTGACAGTAATTTTGAGCAATATTTGCCTTGTTTTTTATTTTATTTTTTGTATAGATGGGAGCCTTGTTTAATATAGGCCAAACTCTCTTGTGTTATTGTATTTTTAATTGCATCAATTTTATCTTTTTAGTCCAATTGACAAGGCTCTTTTAGAAATTTGACTGAAATCAAGAGGCAAAATAATCTGTTCATTTCAAATGATTCATTGCCTTTCAAAATGGATCATTTTGTCATTGATTTCTATCCAATTTTTTGGGGATGTTATCAATTGGACTAAATTGACATAATGTGAAAATTCAAAAACAAAATTGGTACAGTTAAAACTATAAGGACTAAATTGACACAAGAGTTAAATTACTGACACCACATGTATAATTTGCCCTTTAATATAGCAACATACCAAGTTCCTAAAATGGAGATTATAGAACATTTGGATGTATCTTTGCTTTGCTTGCTTCTGATCTTTGTTCAACTGCCTCCAAAAGCTATAAATACAACCCATATTCAACACCTTGTTTGCATAGATCTTCCATGTATAGCTGCACAAAAAAAATAAAAATAAAATGAAAATAAAAAAATCCACAGAATCAATGAATCACAAAATCTGAAAATGTAAAACACAAAAACAAACTGATTTACAAAATAAATTATTGTTCAATTACCACTCTTCAATACGCTGCAAGCCCAATTTTGAAATCCTGTTCCAGTACTCAGTATCCTCCTTACACTTCTGGAAAAAATCAGCAATCTTTTCACCCGATTCATCGCCATTGCTTGGATCAATATGAAATCCCGAAACCCCATCAACAATGATCTCAGCCGGACCTCCCTGATTGGTTGCGAATGTAGGCAATCCACAGTTCATTGCTTCAATAACCGTGAGCCCAAATGCTTCATACAGTGCAGGCTGCACGAAAGCCCCTTTTGTGTCAGCAATGCATCGATAGAGCTCTCCATTCCGGTTCTTTTCTGTCTGTGCTGCTATCCATCTGATTTGACCCTTCAGTTGGTATTTTTCAATCAATGTGTGCATTTTCCTTATCTCAGCTTGTTCTTCGCGGTCTTTTGATTTTGATGGATCAAAAAAACCCGCAACAATAACAAGATTGACTAAATTTCTTAGCCTCTTGTTCTTTCCATACCACTCAGTTAGTCCACTGATGTTCTTCACTGTGTCAAGCCTCGCCATTGAGAAGATGATGGGTTTTTTCTTGTCTTCTAGGTAACCACTGTATTTTGGAACATTTCAAATGTGTTAAATGTTTTAAACAAAAGATTTAAAAATAATCATTTTGGCAAGTCGATATTTATTTTAGTGCAAATTTTTGACTTACATGTGTTCGTTGTTATCGACTTTACTAAAGAGTAATTCTTCTATTGCAGGGCGAAATGATGTGAAACGCTTTTGTTTTTCGGTGTAAGGGAAATAGACGGATTGGTCAGCCCCAGGAGAAGCGATATTGAATTTGGGATCGAAAACATTGATGCCAGAAACAACCCTGCAAAGCCCTGGAAGCGTAAATGCAGTGTGACTTTCATATTGCCCGGGCCTATCTTTGCTGCAACCATAAAAACATTCAAAATCAGTATAGTATTTTATATATATGCTTATTTTTTATTATTTTTTCTACTAACAATTTGATCGAATTACTATTGTAGGCGTGGAAATGTAGCTGTTCTCTTACCTTCCTGCAATTTCTTGGTACGTGCTTGTGATGATGAAATCTGCAGTGTTCATTGCAATCGTGTCAGCTGTGAATTGACACGAGAAGTGGTACTTAGGATCTAATTCTTTCCATTTGAGGTCCGAATCGTCGTACTTTGTCTTCTCTAAAGCGTGTGCAATAGTTCCCTAGTTCACGATACTTCAAATTTAGTAAATATAATACCGAATGAAAAGTACTTCAAAGCGACATAAATTTTTTTAAATTATGGAGGCACCAGAGTTATCCCAAGTTTGCTAGCCATAAGCGATGCAACCAAATTGCCATCTGTGTAGTTTCCAATGATTAGATCTGGTTTCGCTTCCATGGTTTGGAGGATTTTCTCTGCAGCATCCTATTGATTGAATACAAAAGTGAAATTTATAAATGACCACATTTCTATAAATTTGGCTAACATTTGACGGGTTTTATGTAGCACGTGCCTGAGTAAACCTTTCGAGGTATGGATAAATGTCAAATCGCGAAACCCATTGGGGGAGGACTCCATTTTCCGTCCTAAATGGCACGCGAAGGATGTGAGAATGCTTTGTGTTGGCGATTGGTTCTAATTCCACATTGCACTTAGTCCCCTTAGCATCAGGGATGAGTCGGGTGACCTGCCATAATCAAGAAAAGCATGATTAGCATTATTCAAGATGATCTAATGATTAGCACTTTGTATCGAATATGGCACTCACCACAAGAATTTGAGGCTTTGCGTTAAGGCCTTGTTGCTTAAACCGGAGGAGCAATTCTTCTTCGAAAGCAACTACTTGATCCAAAACATATACCACCTGTTGATGCGTGGAACAAAGTAAGGTGAATTCAGTGAAATTTCACATTATTGTCAAGTACAAGAATACCAGCCTTCATGAACAAGAAATTTAAAAAAAAATGTATACCTGCCCGCCGGTGTCAGGCAAACCAAGGACATCTGATTGGCCAAAGTACCCATGGACAGAGAACAAGACGACATTGAACACTATTGGAAGCCTGCCAAAGAACTTTTCCATATTTAAGGGGTCAGGCGCTTGTAAGATCTCCGAGAGTGATCTCATTGTCTCCTTCACTCGTTCTGCTGTATCGCCCCATCCCTTTTCAAAGCCCCATTTTTTAAATCCAGGCTCAAAGTTCTGATATGGTGTGTTCTTGGGAATGGTTGAAAGTGCTACTTCAGCTACTATTAGCGCGCTTTGAAGCTTGGAAGCGGTGTTGATAGTCTCGTTGATCATGAGTTTCTGCAAATTATGACCCGAATTGTTAGTGGAAATGAAAATACTTAACTATGGCAAATTTGAAGAAACTCTTTTGTTTGCATACTTCTCCATGGTGGTTTAAGGTGAGTAAATAATCCACAAGAGGCTGCGCCGCCAGTGTGCCACTGTTGAGATTAGAAGTGAGGAATTTTGAAATAAAATTAGTTCCATTTCCAATAGAAGAAGATAGAGTCAAGCGAGGAGTGGAAAAGTCCATTGCTCCAAAATCAACTTCCAAAGCATTTTCATCTTTTGCCCTGTAACATTCCACAAACAATATATCAATTCAAAACAAAGTTTCTGATGATGTTTTTTTTTTTTTTTTGAAATTGAATTAAGAAGAGAGTGATATATATATATATATATATTACCAATCTTCATCAACAATTGTTTCTTTGAATTTCAAGTATTCTGTGGCATTGATTCCCTCTACTGATAGATCTGCAGAGCCCACTTTGACAAATTCCCAAGATCCAGGATTTGGTCTAATGGCAAAGGCAATATATGGAGGAACAACTGCTGCCTCCTGCCAATTTCATTAAAATAAAAGTATTTTACGTACAAATCAAGGTTTAAAATAGTAGTATCAAGAAACGAATTGGAGTCGATCACTATATGGTGGTATTGTTGGGAGTATATGAATGGTTGTGAGCTTAAACTTATTGACCGCAAGAAAAGAGGTTTATAGATAGTGAATCGGGTGAATATTGTGAACCGGTCGTAATGGCTCTTAATTGGATTGTGAATCAGCTATAAACGGATACATTCTGATTCGGCCAATATGTATATGACTTTTTTTTCTCACCAGAATAATACGGTGTGCCATATCAACTAATATTTAAAATTATAATATTCACACGAGTAATGATTCATTCCCCTTTTCTTTCCACCCCCGTGACTCACTCTCTCTCTCATTGGTTATCTTTTCTTTTTCTTTTTCTTTTTTTTCCTGTTTCACCAATCACCCCCTGCCACGTGGCAAAGGGGGGGTGAGGGGGTGACCCCCAAAAGGGGGTCCCAAGCATTATTCTATTCACACTTAGCTCCGTAATCTTAGAATATTTGGAGAACAAAACAAAACAAAACAGAGAAAAATGTAGATTTTAAATAGCAGGAATCAAATTAGTATTTATCGTGATATAATAGTATCAGAAATATTGAGCCAATAACGTGGCAAAGGGGGGTGAGGGGGTGACCCTCAAAAGGGGGTTCCAAGCATTATTCTATTCACACTTAGCTCCGTAATCTTAGAATATTTGGAGAACAAAACAAAACAAAACAGAGAAAAATGTAGATTTTAAATAGCAGGAATCAAATTAGTATTTATCGTGATATAATAGTATCAGAAATATTGAGCCAATAAGCAAGTAAAATAAGATGCATGTTTTGAAAATTTTGAAATCAAATTAAATTTTTTTTTAACTAATGTGTGTGTTTGGTTTGAGTTTTTTGAATTAAGTTTTTCAAAAACTGAGTTTTTTTGTTTTTTGTGTTTTTAGTGAATATTTTTAAAATTTTGAGCATTTTTTTTACTTTTTTAGATGCACCTTACTTACTAAAAAGTAAAAAATTTATGAAAAAATATTTTAAAAAATTAATAAATACATAAAAATACAAAAAATATACTGAATTCTTGTAATTTTTTTTATATTTTTAGTATTTAGTGAATTTTTAAAATATTTTTTTTATAAAAATTATACTTTTTATGTGTATTTACGTTAGGTGTGTCTAAAAATTAAAAAAAATTGTTTAAAATATTAAAAAATTTCAGTAAAAACAAAAAAATATGGAAAACAATAAAGTAGAATTTTCTAAAAGTATTTTTAAAAAATCAAAAACAAGCAAAGTAAATAGTATTTAGAATATTGAGCCAAATCGATCATAACAACTCTCAATCAAGTTGTGATTCAGTTATGATTCTTATGAACCGGCACATCAAGTATGCATGTGAATTTTATTTCAATGAACTTTTTAAAATCATCAACTAAAAAACAAAAATTGTATAACATCCGAACCAGTTGGATCGACTCTGAGTCGGATCATGAAAAGATCATGTATGCATATCACATTTCTTGCCACTTATATATATATATATATATATATATATTTAGACTTGGAATGTTTGGAGAGAAGGAAATATAGAGAAAAAAGGGAAGGAAAAGTACACACCTGAGTGGTGCACAAAATGTAGCCAAGCAAGCCGCTCAAGACCTGTTCTTTCTCTTTCTTATCATCAATCACTTTCTCCATTTCATCCATCAAATGATGAAGCTTCATCAACCTCTTCCCCTTCTCAATGTACTTAGCAAAGCACTTCTTCATATGATACCGGCTCTCTCTCAGGGCGTCCGGCATGCTATCCGCCATCGATTCAGACCGCTTCAATGCCGGTGGAGTAGCCATTTCAGCTTTACAACAAAAACTAGTTTTACGGTTACAAAGATATATCAACAATAACAAATGAGACTGGTTTGGTGTGTTTGAGATTGAGATGGGTTTTGGACGTATTTATAGATCAAATGGCGTGTCTTGTTGCTGGGTTTTCATGCATGGATTATTAAATATTGAGTTTCTGGATTTGGGTTTGCTTTTGGGTTACGCGACGTGTTTGGCTTTGAGAGAGGTTTTTTTGGTTGGATTGGAAATGGGGAGAGGAAACAAAAGTAGGGAGCGAGGAGAGGAGAAAGAACATTCTTTAAAGCTATGAAAGAGCAAAGGAAAAGAATTTTGTGATTCCTTGTTGGAAGCAAAGGTAATCTCCATGTCTCTCTTTATCCCTTGTAGGAGTAGGTTGGAGGTCAACACTAAGGCCAAGTGTGAGAATATAAGAAAAAGCTAAAATGTTAAAAAATTATTTAAAAAGTTAAAAAATTAATACTATTTATTAAAAGTCAACAATTACGACTGTATAACTCTTAATTTTAATTTTTTCTTACAAATCAATTTTTACAATTTTTTAATATATATTTTTCCATAAAAAGTCAAAAAATTAATCAAAATATCTATATTTTTTTCTCAATTTTTTAATCAAAAAAGACAAAAAGTGCACTTATTTATGACACTCCAAACAACCCCTAAACTGATTTAATAATTAAAAACTTACAACTAATTTTCACTAATAAAAAAAAGATTAAATTATGTTGATAGAAATGTTGATCAGGATTTTTAAAGGAAAATCATCACTGACTTGGTTGAAATTATTAATTTACTAAGTTGAATATGTTTATAATTTTGTTTATAAATACATTACACCTGTAGTTCATGCGCATATTTTTCATAAATAAAATACTAATAATTATAATCAATTATACCAAATTAAAACAAATTTATGATAAAAATTAAACAAATTGAAATTACAGAGATCATAATAATGACACAATGACCATTTCTTCAAGCAACTCCACCATTGTGCTTTGCCATGCTATTGCTAAAATTTGATGACCTAGACACAAGAAACATACTTCAAAAATGTGTTATCATCGTATCAAATTTGACAATTTAAAAGTATCGTGCGGAATTTTAACATGATAAATGTTCTATTATTAACTTTTTTAATTTATTACATTAGAAAATACTAAACATCAAATTTTATTTAATGTGAGTTAGAATTAAGATAATAAATCAAAGTTTTTAAAATATAAATTATTGGATTACAAATTTTAAATTAAAAATGTAATTTAAAGACATGGCAGACACATAACTACATATAATCGTATCATATAGTATAAATTGAATCGTGGTAAAATTGAAAGCTGAAATCAAATATGCCTAACTTTTTTTTTTGTTTTTGTTTCCTCTTTCCTTAGGTAAGTCTCTCTCCCTTGATTTTTTATTTTTTATTTTTTTTCCATTCACTCTCTCCCTTGAATTGTTTGTACACGGTTTTGGTATTTCATATGATTAAAGACATGCATATGGTGTACGAGTACGAAATAATTCTTCTCGTATCACTTCAAGAAAATACAGTTTTGGTGATCACTTTTGCTACTAAAAATATTTTGGTTGTCAAAAGTTGTGGAACTGGCGATCAAAAATTATGTTAGTCTGTAAAAGTACAATATTTAGCTACTAAATTTTTTTAGTCGGGGTATATTAATTTTTGGCGACTAAAAAAAAATTTAGTCGCTAAATTTACTACAATTGGCGACTAAAAAAATATTTTTGTCGTTGTATAGATAGTTTTGGCAACTAAAATAATTTAGTCGCTGAAAGAAAGATAAAAATTTACTTTTTATCTTTGGTGACCAAAATTTTGGTCCGTAAAAATGTAATTTCAGTGACTAAAAAATATTTTAATCGTTGTATAAATAGTTTTGGCAACTAAAATAATTTAGTCAGTGAATGAAAAATAAAAATTTATTTTTTATCTTTGACGACCAAAAGTTTGGTAGGCAAAAATTTAATTTCAACGACTAAAAAATATTTTGGTCGCTGTATATATAGTTTTGACAACTAAAATAATTTAGTCGCTGAAAGAAAAATAAAAATTTACTTTTTATCTTTGGCAATCAAAATTTTGGTCGGAAAAATGTAATTTTAGCGACTAAAAAATATTTTAGTTGCTGTATAGATAGTTTTGGCAACTAAAATAATTTAGTCGCTGAAAGAAAAATAAAAATTTACTTTTTATCTTTGGCGACCAAAAGTTTGGTCGGCAAAAATTTAATTGCAGCGACTAAAACAATATTTTAGTCACTGTATATATAGTTTTGGCAACTAAAATAATTTAGTCGCCGAAAGAAAAACAAAAATTTACTTTTTATCTTTGGCGACCAAAATTTTGGTCGGCAAAAATGTAATTTCAACGACTAAAAAATATTTTAATCGTTGTATAGATAGTTTTGGCAACTAAAATAATTTAGTCGCTGAATGAAAAATAAAAATTTACTTTTTCTCTTTGGCGACCAAAAGTTTGGTCTGCAAAAATTTAATTTCAGCGACTAAAAAATATTTTAGTCACTGTATGGATAGGTTTGGCAACTAAAATAATTTAGTCGCTGAATGAAAAATAAAATTTTTCTTTTTATCATTCGCAATCAAAAGTTTGGTCTGCAAAAATTTAATTTCAGCGAGTAAAAATATTTTAGTTGCTGTATGGATAGATTTCGCAATTAAAATAGTTTAGTCGCTGAATGAAAAATAAAAATTTTCTTTTTATCTTTCGCGACCAAAAGTTTGGTCTCCAAAAATTTATTTTCAGCGACTAATAAATATTTTAGTCGTTGTATAGTTACTTTTGGCTACTAAATTTATTTAGTCGCTGAATGGAAAACAAAAATTTACTTTTATTTTTGACGACTAAAAGTTTGGTTGCCAAACATTTATTTTCAGCGACTAAATAAATTTTAGTCGTCATATACCAATTTTTGCCGACTAAAAGAAATTTAGTCGCCAAATATCTAGTATAATTTTATTTTTAATCTTTGGTGACTACGGGGGTGTTTGGTGGAGCTTTTTTGAGCCAACTTATGCCTTCTGACTTTTAAAAATTTATTTTGAACTGTTTGGTTAAACTTATTTCAAACAACTTCTGATTCTAACAACTTATTTTATGTAAAAAAAAGTTGATTCTGAGAAGCTGCTCACCCATTGCTTCTGATTATCAGCTTCTGCTGTGGACATATTAATTCACAGTTCTACTCCTAGATTTTTTTATTTTTTATTTTTTTAAAAATAGAAAAAGACACAAATGGACTATAAAATATTATTATTATTTTTTATGAGAAATGTAGACGAATAGTGAATAATAAAAAATAAAAGTTAATTGAAAAGCTACTTCACAACTTATTTAACAAACACTATTCAGAAACTTAAATCCATAATCCAACAGCTATACCAAACAGATTATCAGTTTCTGATTAAAGTCATAATCTATAATCTGTTAAGCTATAATCTATAATCTGTTTCAACAGTTACACCAAATAGGACCTACCTCATTTGGGCGGCAAATATACATTTTTGGTGACTAAAACACATTTACTTGGCAATAAAACTCAATTTTTTTTTTTTTTTGGAACACATACTGCCCAATTTGAGTTCATGTTTAATTTTATTATGATTATCATCATTATTTATTATTATAATTTTCTTTTTTATTTATTGTCATTTTGGAGGGATTTTTAAATTAATTTGGTGAGGAACTCTGGAGGGATTTCAAGCACACTAAAATGAGTTAGGGCTTAAATACGTCTCTCTCTCTCTCACTCTGTGACTCTCTCTCTCTCTCTCTCTCTCTTTCTCTCGCATCTGCCCTCTTTCGATTCTTTCACGCCTCTGTCTCTCTCATTCCATTACTTTCTCTCTCTCTCTCTCTCTCTTACGCTAATTGCTCTCATCCTGATATTAAATCTCTGTCGCTTTGTTTCCATTGTCGTTGGGTAAGGAGCATCACTGCCATCGAGTACCACCGTTAATTCACTATTGGAGCATTACCCCAGTATGTCCTCTCTATTTTGCCTTCTCTCTATCCCTCTCTCTGCCTCTCTTCTCCTAATATATGTCTCTTTCACTCTGTGACTCTCTCTATCTTTGTTTTCTCTTTGACTAAAGTAATTTTGTTCTACAATGTCTCATCCACCAGGGCCTTCACCATCCCCATTTTCTAGAGCATCTTCAACTCTCCCTAAAAACAATTTGAGGTATAAATATCCCTCTCTTTCTATAAAATGATCCAAGGAACATGTAATTTATTGTTTTTCTTTTTTTGGGTTGTGAAAGCCTGAAATTCGTAACACTTAAATTGTATCTTATAGTTTCATCTTATACTAATTTATATTGGTAACGCCGGATAAATATTCTTCAAGCTGCCTTACTGAACGTTGCTTATGTGATCTTCATCTTATACTTAATTTATACTAGTAGCGCCCGATAAAGGTTTGGAGTTTTACTAACTAATATTTTTTTAGTTGCCAAAATATAATTTTCTGCGATCAAATTGAAATTAGGTCGGCAAAAGTCGAAGAGGGAAGACAAAAAAAAAGAGAAAAAAGTGAGGTTAGATTCTGTTGCCATGAGGGCTCTAAATGTTATGGAGCACAAAACTGATGCTAACAAAATCAAAACTCTTTCCAAAGTTAAAGGGTGGCCATGTTTGGTTTGATTTTCTAAAACTTGATTCAAATTTATTTCTTTAAGACTAAAAATTAGTTTCGTAAAAAATTTTTAAAAAGAAAAACTACCTTACTTGTCAATTTTATATAATTTTACGAAGGATATGATTAGCTTGTTTGGTTTGGATTTTCAGTATTCACTTTTCAGAAAATTGAATTTTTTTATTTTTCATATTTTTTTTATTTTCACTAAATGTTATATTCTAATGTTTTTTAAAAAAGTTTCGTTATACCAAACATAAATACACTTTAAAAGTATAATATTTGTAAAAAAAATATTTAAAAAATTCACTAAATACTAAAATAAAACAAATTCATTGAATACTAAAATATTTAAAAGTCACTGTTACTTAAGTTCTGGCTACAAGAGGTTTTAGTCGTTATATATGGGTTATTTGCCGACAAATAACCAATTTAGTCGCTACAGGTCTAATATT